GGGCATCCCTGGTAAACTGCAGTATCTCAAACAGAGCTGTGACTTGCTTTGCTGGGGCTGAATCTCCTTCCTTCCTCCTTCAGGAAGGATGGGTGAGCCTCTGTAGCACCCTGGGACTGGAAATTAAAACCAAAAACTCTCCTTGCAAGGTCTTGTACTTCTTAAATTGTGTCTCGCAGCTGATCACTAGCAAGTCCTCAGTCCTTTAACCTTCAGTCACCTAAAACCAGAAGTTTTCACTCTACCAAACACAGTCAGAGTTGCAAATTGAAAGACACACCAAAAATGTAGTTGTGAAAGACCTCAAAAAAAAAAAAAAAAGTAATTCCTGAACTGGAAAATTAGTTTTATTAACAGTCTCTGGCCCTTTCATTAAGTAAACACATCCAGTTCTGCCCCTGGAGTCACACTTATGAAACTAAGGGTTTATAACAGCAATACTAACACTGCATTATCTAATGTAATGCTCTAATAAATAATGATGTATCACGCCAGAAGGGTTTAATTTGAAACAGATGGTCCAAGGAATAGAAACATAAGCAAAGTATTTCACTGTAATCATTCTCCAGGAAACAAAAGGGGATTTGATATTACTGTCTCAAGGAGCACCTTCCCCCCAATGTTTTTGTCTTAGATAACAGTAAACTCTGATTTTGCTAATGAAGCACAGGTGCTGCTGATTGTGCCCAAAAACAGAACAGAACTCAGGCATTTCTCCCAGTCCTGAGTAGCAAGTGAGAATTTGCTTTTGCAACAGCATTTGCTGCCTTGGCAAACTTCAACTGATCTCTCTTTGCCCCATTTTCTTTTTTTTCTGCTTTAGATAGAAAAAAATAAACCTGTAGTTGTTATGGTCTTGACAATGTTGGATTCTGTTGCAGTCATCACTGAGCACTTAATATTTAGGCACTGCAGTCTATGGCCTATAAAGCCAGCACTGCTTTTAGGTGCACTTGCAAACCACTAAACAACCTGAGCTGCCAAATTCACTCAGCAGGAAAGAGAGTGCTCTGCTTGCAGAAGCATCTGAGTACCGTGACGTCCATAATTACACACTTGAGGAGATTGCTGGTTTGAAGGATCCATGTAATGCTTTACAAGAAGTACAAAGGGAAAATTCGAGCTCCCCCAAAATATCCTTTCCTCTCAGGAGCTGCTTCAGATATTCCCTGCTTTGCAACTTCAAAAAAACACCAAACACCCCACCCTAGGGATGAGCTTGGCAGGGGCCGCTTCTTTTCCTGGAAGCAGCATTTAAATGCAGCGTTTTCACACACGAGCTGCACTGAGGATGTGTGGGCACAGCCCTGGGATGAAATGGTCTGGGGGGAAGTGACGCCACTCCAGGCCTGGAGAAGCTGTGGGCTGTTCAGCCCCACCCGTGACATTCGGGAGCAGCAGCTGCGGCTGAGCCAGACGAGCTGTCCTGGCACCCCCAACTCGAGACTGCACCGACCCCTGGGCACAGAATCATCTCCCTGGGGCAGGGATGATGAGCACCACCCCCAGCACTGCTCCCCCCGGCACTGGGGTGGTTGTGAGCACTGCTCCCAAACAAGAGGAGTTAGGACAGTTCCTGTGTCTGATCAGGGTTTATTTTTGCCTCAACACAAAAGGCAAAGTCCAGCACTGAGGAAACAGAGTCCAACCTCAGTTATGACAGTCAGCACCTGGATCCTGTGGAAGGATTCCAAGCTTCCATTAGCCAGACCTGTCCTACAGCGCAGCACACACAGTCCCACGGTGAATCTCCCAGCTGAGAGCACCACATGTGATTTCACCTGAGAGATCTCGATTTTTTTATTTTCTCAATCTTCAAATAGAAAATCATGGGGAGCATCTCCTCATCTTACAATACTCATTACTGCACATGTCGTCTCTCTGTCTCATCCCCAACACTAATAAGCACAGGACCTAATTATCCCCGTTTATAAATAACTTTTCTCGTCCTATCTCTGTCCAACAATGTTTTGGCAGGCATCCTCAGCAGAAGATTTGAAATTATGTCCCTGCCAAAAGCTATTGCTGCTGATGAACCACAGCACACACAATTGAAAGGCTGTGGCTGGTTTTATAAATATCTTTGCACATACGTATCTATGTAAATGTATGTGTATATATATGCGTGTGTAGCAATTTGGAAATTGCTCTACATACAGATCAGGCAAAATGGCATCGTGGCTTTTTCTCTTTTCCAATTGAGCTCATTCAGTCAAATTTTTGCCAATGTATTCATGCATCTCCAAGGGGAATTTTAAGGACCTTCAGGTGAAAATCAGCCCACTGCATTGAGCTAGTTTTAATTTATTCAAGTCACCAGTTATAGGATTCAAGTGATGAATTTACCCTTAAGCACAGTCATGGAGCATCCAAGGAAAAATCAAGTCATGTCAATGCAGGCTAAAGAAGACATCACTGTCACAGCCCACACAGGGCACTGCCAAGAACACCAGCAGAGTGGAGATATATTTTTACAGATATATAAGTGGATCAAAACCAGAGAGGACACCCTGAGTCTCTTGTACTCAAAAAGACTCTCCATCATTTGGGACACGGGGCTGAAATGCAATCCTGCAGCACCCCAGGCGTTAGGGATACATGAAGGGAAGCTGCAGAGATCTCTCTAGAATTTGTGCACCAACAAACAACGTTATTCCTTCTCTGACAACCTTCATGTGCTGTGAATAAGGAGCTGTAGATAAACAGATACGTATTTCTGCACAACACTAAAACAGACACCAAAAAAGACAGGAATTATTAGCAGTTTTCTCATGGCAACACAGCAGCTCAGTCCTTGCTCTCAAGAGAAGATGTAAAAGGGGCTGGATTTGCTCACTGCCCATGACATGTCAGTGTGTTCTGTGCCTCAACAGCACATTGCAGGGCCCCCCTTTTTGAGGTCACTCCCAACCTACAGCCATTCCTTTCACTGTATTTCTGCTCAGTCATATGAGTTATTATTACATCTATATGAACAACTATTCCAACAAGCAAGCAGGGAAGAGCAGAAGTGCTTCAGGCAGTGAAGCATATGGTCCTTGGAATGAGGGCTGAGCAGCGTGGGGGCTGTGCAGAGGGTTTGGATTATAGGGAAATGGGCTGGGGGTCAAGGGAAGTGTCAAGGCAGAAATGTCTCTTATGAATTTACTAGAACAGCTTTCCTAAGTCAGTGTAAGACAGAGATTACTGTCAGCAACACCCATCAAAAACACACAACAGCTTCCTCCCTGAGCATATGACCTTAGTTATGCTTTCAGTTGAGGTTAAATAGGCCCCAAATCTGCCCTACTGCTCCTATGGGAGGAATCTGCTTGGCTCCAGCTGCTCAGCTGGTCACAGAACCACAGGGCTCGAGCCTCTCCCAAACACAACACATTTGTGAGGTCGGGAAGTCACATCCCCACCCGACAGGGAGCGAAGAGAGGCACTGAGGGAACAGGAGTCAGCAAGAATCTACCCTGGAGTCAGGCCCCGGTGCCAGGATGCCTGGAGCCCATTCCTGAGGCTGCAGTGCAGCTCGTGTTGCCAGCACGATGCCCAGTGTCCCTGCGTTACTGGGAATCCCAGCACCTGCTCTGAGATGCTGGAGATCGTGGCCAGCAACAGAGCAGTTTGTCTCCATTCTGTCCCAGTGTGCCTGAGAAATTAGTCATAACCAAGTACCACCTATTTATAACTACTTGCTTCTCTTGTTTTTAAGGCTGTTATTTTAGATAACTGTCAGTGAGACAGCAAGGGCTGATCCCAAGGCCAGATGGATTCAAAATACTCAGGCTGCAAAAACTGGATCATGCTGTTACTCAGTGAATTTACTCAGACACTGCAGTTTCTACAAGATGAGCTTTTCCTAAGAAAAAGTAGCATTGGTTTGTATTTAAAAAAAAAAAAAACAACAAAAAGCCTTTCACCATCTGTTCCAATGACTGTACAAGAGAAAAAGCTGACAGCAAAGATAGATTCTGCTAATCCACCTGTGCCCAGCACTAGAACCAGATTATAATGCCATTTGATGAGCTTCCACAGCCACTTCCAAAGGCACATCAAGGATAACGAGGCACCATTGATATTAAAGGAGAAACTACCACTGATTTCAGGGGAACCAAGATTTCAGTGGCACAGCACTCAGGAGCTTCTGAGCCATTCTGAAAACAGGGACTGTCATTTTAGCTGTTCACCCCAGCTATCCAAAGCTGGTGGTTTTGGTGTTAAGAGCCCTACACCGAGTCCCCATTGCTGACTGTGCAGTGATATGATTTGCTGGAGCCAAACTCACAGAGCTGGGTTTAGTTCCTTTAGTTCCTTAGTTGTTTTAGTTCCAAACCAACTGTGCTAAGCAAAGCACAGCCTTTGGATGGAAGGCTACTTTTCCCTTGAAGAGCTTCAGGCATTGCTAACCAGACACTTCCTTCCCATCATTTCTTTCAGTTCTCACTGAGCTCAATGGGAGGGTTTCACACATAAATACAATGCTCAAATAAATCCTTGAAAATCCTGCTCTGACCCCATATTGAAGCAATAGATGGACAGTCCAAGCCCCAGCGCAGGCTGGAGTTAAAAGGTGCAAAATCAACCTCAGAAGGTCGAATATGGCCCTTCTGGCTTTTACAGGCACATGCTCCATAAAGTCTGCTGAAAGAAAGGCCTTTGAATTACTTATGTTTCTAAAACTGTTTTATTTAAGAAAGGGGGTATTTTTTAAAACACCAGACTTACCTGTGGCACCTCCTTATTCAAAAATCCAACTAAACCCCTAGAGAAGCTCATGATCTGGCAGAATCTGCTGCCTGAGTCACGGACAGGCTATGTCAGAGCTCTACATTCCTGGCAAATAAAGGGCAAAATTACTGTCTGAAATATCCACCCCAGGGATGCATGTGAAGGTGAACAGCATGGCAACACAACATGAAATAACTTGTAAGGCAAAGAAACATGAATCATCTTCCTTACAGTCAGGAGATGAGTCTTTTCCATGGCCTGGAACACAACCACTGGCAGAAACAGTTTCCAGTCTACTTTATTTGCTTACATTTTAGTGAGTTTGCTTTCGTATTTTGCTGCTGACATGACCTTTTTGTTTATCAACACAGATCAGTTCCATTTAAAATACATCAGAGTAGGACACCTGTAACTAGTTTTACTTGAATATATGTACACAATTACATATACATTATATACATATAGGCATTATATATATACATATAAATATATACACATATATATAAGGCACTGGAAAATGTACCATCACTTCTCTAGGACTGTTTTAATCTGTAAAAGTAGATCATATTTCTTCACATAATTTGAAATGTCTAACCAAGACATTTTAAAAATGTTTCAGGGCTAGAGATACCAGCTGTGAAATAAGCCTTACTTTAAATTTCAAGTTATTTTGACAAGATGAACAAAACCTATTCTAGTAGTAATTCTAATCTATTTATTATAAAACTGCTTCTCCCTTAAAAGACATATTCACCTGTATAAATAGTTTCCTTTGTCTCTCCTTATTATGTTCCAAAATGTGAACTTAAACTTGTCCTGCAGAATAAAAAATAACAATAATGAATAAATGAATACAAACTTGGATAATTTATCCATTACTTAGAGAGGGGAAAGCCAAGATTGCTGTCGGCCAAGACACGATTAAATAAAATGTATTAAAACAGATCATGAGCTTATAGAATCCTCTTTGATGGAGCCAGCATCAATGGAGCCTGGTTTGGCCATTTCCTAGAAAAGGTAATCTCTGCCACGTGAAGACACGACAGCACACAAATGTGAGTGGCATTTATGAAGAACATGCTTCAATGGATCCCTGCTTAATGCAATTAGCCTAGATATGCAAATGATGGCATCAGAAATCCTGCAGCAGCTGCAGGGCCTGGCAACTGTGCGTGTTGTAAGCCAGCCTGACAGAGCAAATGGACGTCTTTTCAAAGACCAGAAAGAGGCAGATGAAGACGGATTAAGAACTGTACATCTTTGGGATTTATAAACCCAGATGATCTGGACAGAACATTTCAACAAATAGCATTAACACATTTTCTTTTCCAGTGGCTCTGTAGCAATGATTTGCAAGTGTTCTGGATCACAGGATCCCTATTAACCCCACAGCTTGAACAAAAACCAGTACAGAAAACTTCATTTAGGGTTGTTTCATGGAGCACTTGCTGTGACCTCACTAACAGGGTTCATTGGTCACAACCAGGAGACACTTCTAAAGACAGAGCATATTCCTACTCTACCAGCAGCCTCTTGACAATGAGATTTAACCTGCAGTCACTTCTTTTAACGTTTTGTCACGTGCAGACTTCGCACCAGAACTGGCCTTTCCAGTTCTACTCTTCCAGTCCCGGATTTGCACGAGTGGGAGGGAGGAAGGGCAGAGCACCCCGGACCAGCCCGGCAAACGGATGTGCTGAGGCAGAAACGGACACTCGAAAATACCGGAGTGACTCAGAGGTTTAAAAAATATATATGTATTACGAGAGCCACAAAAAAGGTTACAGACAGAGCTCCACAAAGCCTGCACAGATACATTCCAACAACTCAAGGTGGCAGAACAGGTGAAATACAGACCATAGAAACGGCTCGACAGGAACTTTCCGCACTGTCAGAGACAGCGAGCTTGACCCCATCTTCCCCCCACACACAGAAAAATATTGACTATATATATATCTCTCTATATATCTCTAGTCTGGCCCACAGATACAGTCCAAAGGAAAACCACATTGCAATTTCCACGTTAGGCTTGTAGGAGATTGGGCATCATCTGAGGAACGTCCACCGACAGCCCAGGAGGGGATCAGCTCGGGCCAAGCTGCCACAACTCTGTGCCTGGTTAGCGACTGGAACAGCAACACTCCACAGCTCATCTGCTGCACGTGGCTACTGACACGCAGCTCTCTGCAACCCCTGGAGCTGGCTTGAACCAAAGTGAGTAAATACATTTGTTTTGCTTAATTTAAAAAAAAAAAAAAAAAAAAGCAAGCAAACGTAAGATAATAGGGCAGCTCCTGTTATCACCTTCCTTAAAAATTCAAGACTTGAAGAATTCTTGAATGCACTTGCTTACAGACATATTTGGAGACTGTATTAATGATCTTCAGGAAGATTTGCCACCCTGAGGCTTTTTTTTTCCCTTGTTCAGGTTGTCTGCATCCAGTTTTGCCACGGGGGCCAAATGCTGGTTGTCTGTCAGTGCAGTATTTGGCCCGGAGTTTCAAAGTCTTTGCTATTCAGACTTTCCTATGAGGTCAACAAACAAAGTAGTAAAAAAAGAAAATATTAAGGCTTCAAGTAAAAATATTTCCTCTCTCTCCCACCCACGTAGTAAGGTACATTTAATGTCATAATACTCAATATATTACACAGTTAAAGATACAGAGATCCAACTTTTCAAGGCAGGTTGTACTACGATGAAAACCTGGAAGCTAAATGGGAGCGGATGGACAGGGAACAAACTGCTAATAAAATGCAATATGCAATGAAAACTGATGCATAAACTAAACAAAAACTATTGCTGTTTTTTAAATAAGTAATACAGTCCACAGCTACAAATAAAAACATGTTGACAATATTTAAGACTTCTGGGACATGAAATCAGCATGACAAAACTAAAGAAGCTGCTTTACAGGACGTGTTAACTCGTGCTGGATTTTCATGGCTGATCCCCACCCACCATAAATTAGCATCAATTAAATGAGCTTTGATGGAGCCACACCAATTTATACCAGCTGAAGATTTGGCCTGCAGTGTCTGTAAAAACAGGCTATCTATCTGGGCAGAAGAACCTTGCTGCTAATCTGTAATCTGCTTAAAGAACTACACTTTTAACATGGGCTGCATTCTGCTCAAAAAACTAGATTTAATAAATAGGTCCCCAGTCCCACAACGGGAACTATGGAAACAGACAGTCAGATTTGTGAGAAAATAACTGCAGGTTCAGTGCCTTGGATGAAAATGAGGCTGGATTTGCTGCGTGCAATCTCCTGTTACCAGTTCTGCTTAGATGATTCTTTCAGAAAATTTGAATCATTTACTCCAGGCTACGTGCACTGAACTAAATGCAAACCTCAAAAGGAAAGGAAAAAAAAAAAAAAGGCTTTGGTACCATTGTAAACCTATGAAGAAGCTGAATGTCTCTCAACTGTGGGCAAGACCACTCACAAAATACAGAATCCTTACTTCTGAACCTGGACTGACACAGTGCATTCATTTTTCCCTCCCTTACCCCCTGTGAACCATGTCAAAACAACCCTGGATATAAGTGCTTTGTACACACAATACTGTGTTTAGTCTTACTGAGAAATCCTCTCATGAACTAATGTAGTTAACTCCAAAGGCTCGCGGGCCCTTCAAGTTCCTCAGTAGCTTTTTCATTTACAAATGCAAGAGAAAGAGCAACCAAAGTGGAGCATCACTGGGATGCAAATCTCAAATGTTACACTGGTGCAAATGTTGAGCCTTGCTTGCATGAATTTCATGTACATATTCCCAGATACATGATCAGATGTGCCCCTGTCCTGCTCCCCAGCCCAAACTGCCCGTGTCTCATATCCCCTCTTTTCAGGGCTGACGTATGGCAAAAAATGATCCTTTAAAAACAAGTCATTCTTGTGATACTCTATGCACCAGAGTGAATTCCAGTCCTTAAGGAAGTACTGCATCTTCCTGAGGAGTTGCCATCAGGGCAGATTGCAGACTAGTAACAGTTGAAGATGGAAGAAATCGGTAAGGCCACCTGGTCTAGCCTCTTGTCCCCACAGGCTCACCTCTCACAGAAATTCTTTTAATGACTTGTCCAAATATAGTTTGACTGTCCTAAATAGTTTGGCTCCAAAACTCTGCCTTGGAAGACTATTCCGCTGCCCCTTCCCCTCCCTCCTTTCTGCCCCCTGCTAAATGTAGACCATTGATTACCAGTGACAACCCTTGGATTTACCTTTGGTTTTGCAACTTTTGAGTAACCCATTTGTCAAATTATACTCGATTCCCCCTTCACTGCCTGGCCAGTGGCACGTTTTAGCCCTTTAAATCCTCTCATTAGTCAGCCCTCCAGTCCTTTCCTGTTGCTCCCTCTGTAGCTGGTCCACTTTGCCAGCACCTCCCTGGTCCCACGGTGCCCCCAAGCCCAGGATTCCATGAGCCAGGGAGCAAATCTGCACAGGAAGACTATTGCTCCTCTGCTCTGCACGGCCCTCCAGCAGGCATTTAAAACATCACCACAGCAAGAAAATGCACACTGATTTCTACCTCCCTCTCTCAGAACTTTGGCCTATTGCAGATGCTTTCCAGGTTTCTCCCCTCAGGCAACACAGAGCATTACACAGAGAGATGATTAACTTTCCTATGTTCTCTTCAACCTTTGACTCCAAAAACTAATGTGATATACAAGGGACATAATAACCATGTATTGCAGCAGATGTCAAGATTCATCAAATCAAAGTATAAATTTTAACCAGGCAAAACTAAGGGCAATATTTGCCTTCTAGAACAATTAATCTTAACCCACATGAAAACAAAGATGTTACCAACACATTCTGAATTGCTACCTGGAGAGCTCTTCATTATAGCCAAGGATTGAAAAGGATTTCACCCCTTGAAACAAATATCCTGAAAAATGATGGATTTGGCTCTCTAGTCAAAACCATTCAACAGGAGAACCAGGTGGGAAGTCAAGGTTTTGGATGCTCACTGGCTCAGTGATAAATAATAATTTTTAGTGACTTTGGCAACAGTTGCTCAGGATATTCTTAATTGCACACATGATCTGGCTAGTTAGCATTGGTCCAGATCTCAGTACTTTTGACTTCTGAGGTGGTAACTGAATGGGAAGGAAAAGGAGATAAGGAATAGAGAAATAAAAATCCATTTGTCCCAAAATTAGCTGGGCCAGAGTCCTCATATTTGTGATAAAAGTAATGCACAAATTTCTTGTTTCTTATAGTAAAGTCGTCTTTAAATCCAACAAAGTAAAAGTAGTTTTCTGGAGACAGGAAAAGGAAACCTCAGAATGTTAAATACATTTGATTGATACTATTTTAAAAAGTTGTTCCCCTGGGGAAAAAAAAACCCAAATGGAAAATCCTTTGTCTAACAGTATTGAAGACCAGAGGGAATGTGCTAGTAATTAGGCAGACAGAGAATTTATATCCTTTAGATGTACACTTGGCTCAGTTACACACACTGTAAATTCAACAGCTCCTGACAACCTTGCTGAGGGATTACACAGACGGCACCAGGCAGGGCAGTAAACCAGGTTATTGCCTAAATCCAGCAGGTAACAAGGAGGGTGCAGGGAGAGCAGCTGACAGCTGTTTAAAGCATGTTCCCATCCAAACATCTCCTTCCTTATCTGCTTGGTTTTGTTTCCAAGCCGGAGAAGCCTTTAAAGCCCAGAGGGAGCGAGAGGTGGGAGCGGAAGATCCTTCAGGCCTGGCGGTCCTTTTTGCACAGACACAAACGCGCACACAGCGTCACGACGGGCAGACAGTGAGAAGCTGATGATATCCTGTCTCCTGCTCCCATCCAGGACCAGGGAGGCTTTTGAAGATGACGTGGTGTTGGCAGCCCGAGTGCCCTTGCCCTGTTCCCTCTCAGGAGGAGGAACCCGCGCGGCAGCGCCGGGGGCACGCGGGGCAGTCCTCGCGCAGCAAACCCGCCTTCCACGGCAGCAGGAGAACAGCAGCTGCTCCTCGGGCTCCTGCGGACACATCCCTGGCCACAAGAACCGGGAACAGGCACGGGACAAGCTGAATGACCCTGGACTGACCGTCACAGCACAGCTGGCACACGACAGACTCGCTGGACAGACTTCGGTGCCCTCCTACTCAGCACAAACCCCAGGGCTGGGGTGTGAGGTCGTAGCCAGTTCCCGCCAGTTCCCTTCCCTCTTCAGGAAGAGTCTGATAGACTGTACAATTTTATTCCCTCAAGAATAAGGCTGCAGCTGGTTTTTGGCCAAAAGAGAAAAGATGAAAACAGAACAAACCCAAAACAAGAAAAGGAGAGTGGCCGGCCGCTGCTGCTCCTTCTTTGTTGGTGTTTGAGTCTTCACAGTGCTCCTTGCTTCATGGCTGGCTGAGTGGATGGCTCTTTGTTTTTAACTAATTTTATTTTACACTGAAATTTCATAGGTTGTTCCACCAACTCCAGACACCTTCTTAACATTTGAGTGTCTGGCAGGGCTGACAGGCGTCCCCTGGGAACTCGACGTTGAGCCCAACCTGACTATTCCTTTTGGCTGTCCATTGATTTTACTGTGAGGTGTCTTCAGCTGCACGTCATCCCTGCACCAAAGGAAACAGCAAAAGATGCCATGTTAGTGACAAAGTGTGATAGGAGAATGGCTTCACTCGGGATAAACAATTACCCCTGTTACCCTGAGTCCCAGCACTGCAAAATATTCAAGCCTGGGAGCAAGCTGCTTGAAGCCAATGCACTTGATGAAAAGCCACTGAAATGAGAGGATTTATCTGGCCATTAGGTTAGTGGATCAGACCCCAGTAATATTTGTTCATTTAATTACTTGCTTAAATGCTTTGTTGATCTAAATTAATTGCATAAACATCTGTAGGATGCAGGAGGGTTTAGCTGTCACCACTACTGACCTTAAGCCAAACTGTGTCTTACAATGAGAAAGAAAACACTCAGGAAAAAAAACATTTCCCAGCTAAATATTGAGTTAAACAAAATTATGTTGCTCATCTCTGAAACATGTAAGAGAGGTGGATTGGTAAGACTTCTTTATGATAGAAGACATAAACTGAATCAAGTCAGGAAGTACTCTGGGACGCCTGTAATTAAAGACCATAATCCAGATGGACTCTTAAAAATAATTTCCTTTTTTCTGTGCCAGGGAGCACGGACAACAGGCTCTCCTCAAAAGATCTTCTAAATCTAGGCTACCACACACTCAAGCATAACATGTCTCCTCCCCAGGATTCTTGAAGTAATTAGATAAAAACCTACAAAAGAACTTGTGTATGTTCTGGAAGTATCAGCATGGCTGGGACTGCTGTGTCCTCCTGCCCCCAGGATGGATGATGTGCACCCAGGATGGATCATGTGCACCCAGGATGGATCATGTGCACCCAGGATGGATGATGTGCACCCAGGATGGATGATTGCTGGGCTTGGCCTCATTCTCGAGTTGAAGAGCAGGTCCTGCCCAGAGCAGTGCCCGGGGGCTGCCGTACCCTCCAGAACGGAAGGCTCCCGGTCTGCCTGCAGACAGAGGCAGCTGAGCTATTTCGGACCAGCCTGACCTTTTCTGGAGGCCAGAGGGTTTGGGGTTTTTTGCCACTTTTCTGAGGCAGTCTGGTGTGACAGCTGTGCCCTGGAGCAGCAGGTCCATCCGCTGCCACCAGCCCGGCTGTCGTGCCGTGGTCGAGCTGTGCTTGCACCAGAGCCGTGGGGATCTGAACCAGCAGAACACACAGACACACATGGGCTGATTTCCCAAAACACTGCTGTACCCTCACACAGCTGAAATAGGTAGGGACCAAATGCTAAATACACTAGAGTATTATCAAAGCCCTAATTTAGTGCTGAAATTCTCCTGAAGAACACAGTCTGTCTCCTGGAATGAGGCACAAAGGAGCTGGGGAAAGGGGAGAAGGGAAGCCATTTGTAGTGTTACTGCCAGAGAAAATGTGCCAGGTTTACAAAGCACAGAATGCTTGTGGGAGGTTTACTTCACTAGTTTATTAAGCTATTTATTTATTTATTGATCTAGGTACTTGACTTTAGGAGCTTGAGTGAAAAAGATCCTCTGCAATGTCCTCACATGTCTACCACTTTCTTTAACACCTGATGGGATGGGACCTGTAGCTATTTTGCCAGACATTGTATTCTTCATAACCTCAAAGAGCTGAACAGAATTTACAGGCTCTACCTTTTAAACAAGCACAGTGTAAAAGCAGCAACAGAATCAAGAACCAGAGACTAAGGAAAAACAAACAGCTTTTCATATCATCATCCTTCCTAGAGCAGCAGCTGACACAGCTGGGTCTCAAACAGAGGGGCAAAGGAGAGTCCACAGGTCTTTCACTGGAACAGGCTCATTTTTCAAACACACATGAAGAGGAGAAAATGGCTCTCTACCTTCTGAAAGTCAGATCTTCCAAACGATCTTTTGACAAATAATCTTTACAACTACAATTCACTGTGACTTTTACAACTGACTTGACCACCTGCAGCTCAACCTACAGCAAACGTGCAAACATTTTGTTGTGATGATGTTGCTGGGGGGGTATCACAGAACTGAGGAGCACCCACAAACCTCCCACCCTCATGGCCTACACCAAACATGTCGTCTGGGTGGTGCCTCCAGCGCGGGGCTCTGCACCTGCTCACAGGCAGATTGGCCCTGCCAGGCAGTACCTAGGGCAGTACCTACCTCTGTGCTCCCACTGCTTGCACCTCTGTGATTTCCACAGTGTTTACAAACGAGACAGCCTTCGGGCCTCCGTAGGAGGGCGACCTGGGCATCCCTGTGGGGGACGACGGGACCTGGTGGCCCGGGGATTTGTAGGAGCCATTGCTCACCCTGCCCTGCAGCGCCTGATGGGACTGCACGTTATTATTGGCTAAATCAGCTTGCAGAGAGGTTGTGGAAGTCCTTGGTGCTCTCGTCATTGCACTTGAGAGCGAAGACACCGAGGACTGCAGCATAGGGTTCCTTGTGCTAAAGCTGGTGGCAGCCATCAGGTTGTCCCTGGAGCCGTATCTGATGGCCACGCGCGGGTCCTCGGAGAGCGTGCTGACCTGCTGCAGGCTGTACGAGCTGGGCGTGTCGTAGACCCCCGAGTCTGCAAACACCGAGTCGGGGTGCGAGTGCAGGAGCTTCTCCCTCTCTTCCATCTCCTTCCTCTCCTGGATGGAGGCCATGATGGTCTTGGAGAGGTTATCGTAGCGCACCGGGGACGGGTCCCGCTGGTGCGGGGCGGGCGCCCCCAGCACGGGGCTGAAGCTCTGGGGCGGCGGGCGCTGCAGCTCGCTGCCCCGCAGGTGGCACATTTTGGCTGACAGGTACGGGGAGTGGTACCCCACAGAGCTCACTGCGGAGTGGGCCACGCACTTCCTCCCCGAGGGCGACATGGGGTTCAGCAAACTGTCATAGGAGAGGCTCCCGTTCCTGTTGGACAGGGAATTGGGAGAAAAGATGCTTTTGTAAGGGGTGGAGGCCGCCCCTTCAGACTTTATGGGATGGAGGGGCACTTTGTCTGTCCCTCTCCTGCCAGCGGATTTCAGGCTGAGGGATCGTGAATTGATGGCAAAGGAATCTATCTGCAGTGGGGAAGACTGATAGGTCTTGTGCAGGGAGCTCTTCCGGTAGCTGGGGATGTCCAAGCTGGGTTCGGACTGGTAATCAAGGCTCCTGCCATCCTCTTCTATCAAAGCCCCTTGGCTGTGTCCCTCCTGCAGGGTGATCTAAAACAGAGGTGAAGATGAGAAACAGAAGCCAATGTCATGTCAGTGACAGTGGGTGCAGGGGAAGGAAAGAGCTGGAGGTCCCTCAGATCCCAGCTATGACACAGGCTCGTGACAAGGAACCTCCTCAGTCCTGTCCAACGTGTGGATTAGCACCTCAGGAGCAAGGAGGAGCCATTCCCAGTAAGTGCTGAATAATACCGACAGTAATAGATAACTGACACTGAAAACACTCAATGAGAGACCTACACTGAGACTCAAGTCTCAGTCAAGGTAAATCAGATTGTAATCTGATAATAGTGCCCTTGGAAAAACCACTGCACGTAAGAGTTTTCTACAAATAGCTCTTGAGTTGAGGGATGTCTGGGTTTGTGTGCTGAGACAGAAATACTTCCTGCTTCATTTCAACGCACTGGGGACCAGGACACTCTTATCCACTTTACTCCCTGCTATGAATATTCAGTAATTCTGAATTTCTGGTCATAGGTCTTCAAAATTAGGCACATGAGCTTAATTAAAGCAAAGAGGCTCCTTCTCACCATTTAGGCAACAAAATGAAGCAATTTTCTCTTTTTTATTGCCTCTGCAGGAGAAAGTGGCCATATCAGAGAAGGAAACAGAGGCCATAATTTATTTATGCAATGAAAACAGATAGGACTTCACTTTGGTTTACTCTGTGAAAATTGCTTACAGTTCTGTTCACTTAAAACGCCATTCTGTGCTAAGCAAATCATTTTTGCTGTTATTTTTAAAGAAGAGTTTGCCTTAATGCACAATAAATTGGCTACACTGGCTCTGCAAACAAGAATTATTATCAGTCACATTTAATTACAAATGCAGTCAACACAGGTTGTTTTTTATCTAGTTTCTTTCAAAGGAAAACTACAAAGAAAAAGCTAAATTATAAAAATCTATTTTGTTGTGAAGTTTTTTAAAGGTTTTTTTCTCTGAGTAAGAAGACAGAGAAACATGCAAACCAGCTCCCTGACTCAGAATGCCATGGCTTACAAAGCTCCAACCTGCTAGAGGGTGCCTGTCAACAGAATATTTGGAATTGGATGTCAAGCCATTTTTCATGTAATAAAGTGAAAATGAGAGGATATTGAACTTTTAGGATACAGAAACACACTGTTGTTCTTGTGTTCCCTTTCACAAGCCAATCTTCTCTTCACTAAGTGAACAAGTCCAGAGAATAAGATTTACCATTCCTGCAGTAAGACTAACACTTGAACTTGGTGGTAGCTGGAATTCCACCATCTATCACCATCTTTTTTTTCAAAATGGGAAGCGTTCTCAAAAAGCTTTCCTCACCATTTAAGGAACATTCTCATTACAGTGTTGCTGCAGACAATTGTATTTCTCTACTGTATCTTCCTCTCCTTACTTCATTAATATTTACTCCTTCCTATCACTCCCTTCTTGCCGTTCCAGGGGTGACACTGGAGGGGCTGATGAAATTAATTTAAATTAATTTCACCCACCCGCTGGTGGGTGAACACTTGGGTATGTAGTGCAAACATACAAGTTAGACCAGTGATTTTCAAACTCCTGTTCTCCGGTCCTGGGGGCCAAGGAATATTTTCAAGAAATCCATGAGAAATACACTTCAAAACTCCCAAAAAAGAGAGAAAACTGCCGAAAATCCAGAGCTTATCTTTCCAATTCTTTGGACCTCAGTTTTCTTGGTAGGAGAAAATGATGCCAAGTGTCAGGAAGGTGGGGTTTTTCCATATAACCCAACTGTGTTGGAAAGGTGCTAAGGAAGGTCAAACATGAGAAGTCTTCCACAAATTTTAACAAAAATATCTCTTGGGATGCTTAAAAAGTTCTTTCTGTTTTGCAAGCTGACATCTTAAGGAATCAGTGAGCACGGTGACTGCTGGCTACAGGGTCTGATCCAGCCAGGCACTCAGCATGCCCAGCTCCTCTGAAGGGAATGAGAGGTGGCACCTGTGTCAGGAGGAAGCCAATGGGAGGTGACACTTGTCAGCATCTCAGGCTGAGCCCCTGGCCCAGCAGCAGCACCCGCCCCGCAGCAGGACAGCAGCAAAGCTGGCAGCTCACCGTGTTTCATGGGCAGTGTCACACCCCAGTGCCAGCTGTCCTTACACCTGACACTCACTGGGGCCCTGCAGGGCACTCACCCTCAGCTCCAGGGGCCCTGTCTGGGGCAGACACTCCCAGCTCACTCACCTGCTCGGCCGTGGCGTGGTAGTGAACTTTGGGGTTGTTGCTGAAAGCTGGTCGATACTTGTACATGGCAGGAGTGGGGGGGCTGATCAGTTTGGGTGAAAGGCCACCTTCTGCAAAAGAAAATAAAAAAAAAAAGGGCTTTCTATTAGAATGGGTGTGGCAGAAAGCTGGCATCCATCAATCCTTCCTATCCGTGGCCCTCCACAAACAATCTGCTCTGGAAAGAACAACACTTGCAGTGCTTTTATGCAGAATTCCACAAAAATCAGCGGGGCCCCTGTGAAAGCAACAGCACATTGCTGCCAGATCAGCAAGGCAATGAGAAGAAGAAATAGTATATTAAGTGGGGTGACATATTTTGGTGAGTAATAATTTTGCCTAATTCGAAATTCGAGCTCTTTGGGCTGAAATCAGCTACTAGATTTATCTGAAAGAAAAAAAAAAGTTTTTTTCATAGCATCAAAGTGTTTAGTTCACATTTTCATAAATTAAATAATTCAGTTTGCAATGCCTAAGCATTTCGTGTTAATATTTCTGATTCCTTAGATCAGAATTACATTTTTCATTTAAAAATTATCAAAAATTTAAGGAAGGGCTTAAAAGAGTTTATAAACTCTGCAAAACTGATGGAAATATCCAACCTAGGCTTGAATTAACCACTTCAAGCTGACTTTTCTCTCCCTTTCCTGCTGTTAATTCCCCTAGCTTGGAACTCCTATAAATAGAAAAAAAACTTAATCCAGGTCCCATTAATATTCTGAAAGAATACCACAAGCCTTTCAAAGAGGCTGAAGTATTTTCTTCTTAATAAAAATAAAACACTGATCACACAATATACCTTCACTGGCACCCAGCTGCCCTTTCAGCTCCGAGTACTTGCTTGGATCTCCTTTGGGTGGGAGAGGTGGTTGGCCCTCCATACTTTTATCCTCCAGACCTTCCAGGCTAATTTTAGACTGAAAATGATTAAAAACAAATCAATCATGGCATGAAACTTGGTTAAATAACAGCAAGTATGTTCTGTATCACAGAACAAGAACTACACCTGTAATGACAAGCAGGATTTAGCATCCTCTGCAGATGAGGATGGTCACATGTCAAATCAGCACTGCCATAACAAGCCAGTATAATGTTATCTGCACTCTCCTGGTCTACTTGGCATGCCAAGTACCATTATCATCTCACTACTTCATGTGTGGTACAAGACAAAGGTGTTTTCTAGCATTTTTCAGCCACTTTCCACGTAGCTCTCAGCAAGCAGCTCTCCAAAGACTGTAAGAAGTAACTACCCACAATAATCTTGCAAGCTGGCTTCTTCTGAATCCACTGCTTTCTGCAGGACTGAACAAATCCTTCTCTCCACTTCATGCCAGAAGAAACTCAAGAGAGAAGAGGAGTTAACTCAGTTCTGAGTCAATATTCCTTTCCCTGGACCACAGGTGTTCCTGCAGCCTGGAAGCTCGGAACATTCTCTGAGGTAGAAAAGCTGAGCTGGTGGTACAGGGGTTCATTCAAATTAATTTGAACATCAAGAGGTGACAACTCCTGGGACAGAAAATAAATCCTGCAAAGAACAGGCACCTCTGCCAAAAGAGGCCCAGAGGCTTTCCATTCTAGAGCTGCCTGTTACCAACAGCTCCTGGATCCAGAGCTGCTGCTGCTGAACCTGAGAATGAAGTACATGCCAAGGACTCCACTCTATCACCTTCTCCAAGAAATGCATCATCATCTCAAAGAGATTTGGCAATGACAGCCTCATTCCCAGCTGGACAATGCTCATCCCTGCCCTCCAAAGGCAGCTCCTGAAGGCCTTACCTTGCTCCTGTTGAGGTTGGCCTGGATCCCGTTGTCGCTGATCTTCACTGTGATCTGTCGCTCAGATAACTCAGGCCTGAGGAAAGGAGGCTTCACACTCACAGCCTGCTTCTTCTTGGGCTCCACCACGTACCTGATTAATTGTGCAACAGTCATCATTAAAACAAACAATCACCCAAGAACCAGGCTCACAGACAAGCAAATCTTCCTGCTCCCAGGGTACGATGGAAGAACAGGCAGAGTCCAGGTGAGCAACCTCCACTTATTTCAACAGATGTAATAACTGAACAGCAGTAAGAAGATCCACTGGGGTTTTTTTTAGTGAGCAAAAGGAGAGGATGCAGTAAAAAAGCCCAGTTTTTAAAGCAGTGGTGGACAAGAGCATGAAGAGAGCAGGAGAGGCCTATCACCAACAGAAGTGAATGAGCAGATCTTGCCCAGTTAACACAAAACATCTGCCCTGGGGTGGGAGTGCATGGCTGGGGGAATAAACCCAGCACGTGGGAGTTACCATGGAGATGATGATGTGCTGCCAGTTCTAACTTACCACAGGGTGACTGAGGCATGGTTAGTGTTCAAAATAATGGAGGTAAAAGAGGCAGACAGGTCTGGAGGAAGCAACAAATCTGAAGGGAAATGGCTGACTTTAGAGATCTAATTTTTTCCAATGACACAGAATTCTGTAAGTGAAGTTGGCCAGTGGCTGGACAATGCCAGAAGTGGATACACACACCAGCCTTCTCTGGGTTTTGTAGTGAGCAGGACATTCGAGCAGTGATGGCTCAGTGATTTCAATCTGCAGGACAGTGTGAGCGTGTCTTCACTGCTTGCTACAATTCTGTGAATAGCCATGATGGTGGTACTTACACCCCTCTCTTAATAGGAGTGTCTCACAGCTTCTTAATATCTGGCTCTTCTAATGCATCTTAACCTGATTTTCACGTTTTGATAAGTCTGAGAAGCAGCTACTCCAGTGTCTTTACATTAACACATATAACAATCCTTTAGGACTTACCTGTTGCATAATAAAGGGGGAAAATAAAGGCAGATAACAGTGTCAGGGTCTGGAACTGCTCAATACCCTAGAAAGGCTCAAATCAGTCTGGCAGTATTAAGATTATTAACATGTTTGCAGGCTGGACAGCTCAGCACCTCGGATATTTATAGTCCATCTGATCTACTGCATTAAGATCCTGATTTCAAAATGTGAAACGATAAATCCATTTCCCCAAAAATAGAAAGCCATAAATAAAATCCCAAGTTCCACGATGTAGACCTCATCGATAACCTGCTTGATGGTAATGAAAGTGCCAGTGAGACTGAAAACCACAGCAGACTTAAATTAGATGTAAGTCTGAAGGAGAAAGGCTGATTTTAGCTTCCTTCCTTTTCTCCAGCAGGCTGGACTTGGACTGCACAGTGTAAGACGTCGTGTGGGGAATATGATAACATATGGAAACCTACCTTGTTACTGATATCCACTGGATAAACGTTGTTAAAGACAAGGATATCACTCTTGACATGCTCATTCCAAATAAGTATTTCTGGGATAAGGGTTGTGAATTACACGAAGAAAGCTTGGACAGGTCACAGCTGTGCAAAGAGGGAAGAGCCACCACAGAGCTCCCCTTCGGGAGTCTTTTGCTTTACTCTCCTCATTTCATCAGTGATCTTTGGCTTGTGAGCCCAACCAAGCACATTTTCTTCCTCTGTCCCAACAGCTACTCCCCCTCCCTCAGTCCCAGCTGGCAGTGTTGCTCTCACCTGGGAGCCAGGGGGCTGCAGAGCACGTGTTCCACGTTCCCACAGCATCCCCGCGTGAAGGGATTCACTCCCCCGCGGAATTTACCGGTCACCTGCAAACACAGCCAGGACACTGCTCAAACCTCTGGTCATGTAACAGTCCTCATCCAACCCTCAGAAAGCCAGGAACAAGTCTGCCTTGCTCTGCCCCTTCTGTCCTTCCCAACCGGACCACGTTACTTTGAATGCTGCCCTTCCTCTCTCCAGCTCCAGCACATCACCTCCATCAGCTAATCCCAACCAGGAGGCATCAACCCAAGACCCCTCCCCAAAGGACAGGGTGCTCTGTGGGACTGGGTTTCCAAGTGCTCTCCTCGCTGCCCCTGTGCTGGATTGGTGCCTGCTGTCAGCCACACACCCTGTTTTGGGTCCTTTCATTCCCGTCCCTTCCTCTCCTCTGCCTTGGCAAGTCCTCTGCAAACCACCAGGAATGTCAAATCCAGCTTGTAGTGCTGGATGAGAGCAATGTTTCCTCCCCATCAGATCCCACCCCTGGCAGCAATCAGTACAAACCACTGCTTTGTGCAGGAGGGTGGCAGGAACTCGCTGGTGATTCCCACGTTTGCTTGGAAATGAGCAGGTTTAATAAAAGCCAAGGCTCGTTAGACTGGGGGGATCCATTCAGGGCTTCAAAAGCATCATAAAGAGTTGGGACTCTACACACTGATATTTGACAGTAACCATCTGGGGATAAACACCAATAAAGCCAGGGAGATTACAGTGGTTGCCTCTAAAAGCATCACTGTTGCTGTTCACAAGTAAGGCATTTTAATCAGCTCGAAGTTCTGATGTAGCAACAAGTTCACAGAGTACCAGAAATACCTCAATTACTTTCACATAAAATAACAACAATTAAATGACTTTGCAATATATTATGCTGGCACTGTTGATAGAACATAAAAGTCTTTAAAAGGCCAAGAGAGAGACGCTGGAAGTTCTGGGAGTTGGAAGAGTAACCCGATGACTAAAACATGGGCTGTTTGGCACATCTGCATCCAATCCTGGGCTGAGCTGAATCGTGCCAGATGCTGGCAAAGCATTTCATCTCTCTGTGCCCATTTTCTCAAACACAATATGAAAATAAAATTTCTCTAACTCACAGATTACAGTACTAATTATATCAATTTGGTTTCTAAAGTAGTTTGAAACCCACTGATAGAAAGCAGTCTCAGAAGGAAGGATATTTATTTACTCTATTCAGAAACTAAAAATAGCAGGATATAAGCAGATGTTGGGCTATGGGTTATTTTGATTCCATAAAAGAATTTCAGAGGCATTCAGAAAGCTCACAAACATCTAAACTCAGCCACTATGCACTTTGAAATCACAGTCTGCTACTACGAGCGCTCAGAACAAACCATGGAATGAACAAACACTGAAAATTTGCAGCAAAACCCCAAAAATGTCTGTACCACTGGCCTATAAAATGTACTGGGAAAAGAGGACAAGAGAAACGGAGCATACTGCAGCTGGAAAGCTGACAACAAATAACTACCAGTGCAAGAAAAGAGAATCAACACTGACTGCAGGAAAAAAAGTGAATGTTTCAGAAGAACAGCAAATCCAGGAGCAGATCTCCTAGCCCTCACTCCTGGTCTGGTGCTCTAATTACTCAGATAGACTTCCTTTGAAAGGGACCTGAAGGCTGGGAACATCCATCTCCCAGTTACAGATTGCCACCACACAGGACTAAACAGAAATTCAGACCAGATTATATTTAATTTTCAGAATGGCACAGGAAGATAAATTAAATCTCAAGTGGTTTGGTAGCTCAGGAAACCAATCCAAGCCAGGATACATTTTCCAGCAGTTACTTCAATCGAGTTAAACGAGAAATTCTCAACCTTCCCAAATGTTAGTGCAGCCACAAAGACAAGAAGTTAAATTTTACTTCTCTTAAATTTTTCCTTCTTCCTCAACCTAAAATTTTCATCTCTGCACAAAGACAAGCCTAAGGCAAACCACGGTTTGGGCCGTGAAACCAAACTGCCCTGAGTTTCCTGCTACTATTGTAAGCACTACCAAGCCTAATCCTTGGCCAAAATGAGTTTGGAAATGAAGAGCAGATGATTCTGAGCAGCACAGCGAGAGGCATTTGGAGATGACAGCTATGGAGGCCTGCTTTGTTAAAAGGCCATGTTAGGCAACTGTTCAGGATGACTTCAGACTCCTTGCTGATGTAAACCTCCCACACTACTGTGGATAAGAGTTTATTGTCTCCTGTGGGACAGCAGACAATGCCAGCTCAGTTTGGGAAGGGCTGGCTCAGACAGATTCCTCAGTGGCAGCCCCACAGCTCCCCAGGCAGGGAGCCAGCACCCCCAGGGCTGCCAGAACAGCTCAGGGGGAGCTGCAGAGCACCCATGGGTGCAAGGGCAGCAAAAACACACCTGGGAAAGAAACAAACCACATGGGGAAAGAAGTGAGGGGCAAAAGAGGCCAAAAAAGCCCAGATGGGCTGAAGAGCTGTGTGCAGCTGGCAGGCACTGCCTGCCCCAGTGCCAGGGGTGCTCCCTGCCCTCAGCAATGGCAGGGACGTGCCAGGGGTGCTCCCTACCCTCAGGAACGGCAGGGATGTGCCAGGGGTGCTCCCTGCCCTCAGCAATGGCAGGGATGTGCCAGGGGTGCTCCCTGCCCTCAGGAACGGCAGGGATGTGCCAGGGGTGCTCCCTACCCTCAGCAATGGCAGGGACGTGCCAGGGGTGCTCCCTGCCCTCAGCAATGGCAGGGACGTGCCAGGGGTGCTCCCTGCCCTCAGCAATGGCAGGGATGTGCCAGGGGTGCTCCCTGCCCTCAGGAACGGCAGGGATGTGCCAGGGGTGCTCCCTACCCTCAGCAATGGCAGGGACGTGCCAGGGGTGCTCCCTGCCCTCAGCAATGGCAGGGATGTGCCAGGGGTGCTCCCTGCCCTCAGGAACGGCAGGGATGTGCCAGGGGTGCTCCCTACCCTCAGCAATGGCAGGGACGTGCCACTGATGCCACCACTGGGTCTCTGTCACCCACACCGTGCTGTCCACGTGCACATGGACGTGGCTCTGGGTCACCACACAGGGGCTGTGCTCTGGGGACACTGGAGTGACTGCAGGGGCACTCGAGTTTCACAGCTCTTGGCACAGGATACCGAGCTGGTACTTGGTCTGGAGAGGCAAAACAAGCTGGGTGACATCACAGCGTGTGTGAGTGTGAGTGTGTGCTCACACACACGGCAACAAGAGACAAAGAGCTAACTCAGACCTCATTATGTGCAGTGTGGGCTTGCTGGGGGAGTTCAAAATATCAGGAGACAGGGCAAAGGCATGATTTAATCTTTTCCTTTCTTTCTTTCACTCAGTCTCATGGATTGTTCAGTCTGACTCATAAAGTTTGAACTTCTGGGGTTGATGGTATTCACCACATAAAACCTATTTCAATGCCATGAGTAGATTTTAAATGATAAATAAGCCTGGGATGATTCTCTGTGGCTAGAAAGGGGAAATCTTTGCCTGCAGTGCTTTAAAAAAAGAAATCTGAAAATAAAAAAAAAATTGGCAATCTTCCTAGAACTTCACAAAAGCTCCAGTAAGAGTGTTACTGCTAAGATTTGGGTCATTTTTCTGCTTTACCCAAGCTGACTTGCTGACTTTCCTCCCCAGCTCTCCCCCTCAGCCTCAGACACAGAGAAGGGATTGCTCCTTACCTGCTCATTGGTTGTGCGCCCTCGGGCCACCAGAACGATGTGGAAGCCAGTGAGGCCAATGACTGGAATGAAGAACAGCCCAGCCACACACATGACAGCCATCCTGCACCAGGAGTTAAAGAAACCAGCACTGAGGGGAGAAGAGGCTGGGGAAGACAGAGAGGAAAAGGGGGAAAACAATCTTGGAAACAGGGAGAGTGTCGGAGAGTCACAGAATGGTGTGGGTTGGAAGGGACCTTAAAGATGATTTCATTCCACCCCCTGCCCTGGGCAGGGACACCTTCCACCAGCCCAGGCTGCTCCAAGCCCCGTCCAGCCTGGCCTTGGACACTCCCAGGGATGGGGCATTCACAGTTTCTCTTGGCAAGCTGTTCCAGTGCCTCATCACCCTCATGGTGAAGAATTCCTTCCTCATATCTGATCCACGCCTGCTCTCCTGCGGTTTAAAGCCCCTTGTCCTGCCACTCCAGGCCCTTGCCCCAGGTCCCTCCCCAGCTCTCCTGTAGCCCCTTTAAGCACTGAAAGAGTCTCTGAGGTTTCCCCAGGGCCTTCTCTTCTCCAGGCTGGACAACACCAACTCTCTCAGCCTGCCTTTACAGCAGAGGTGCTCCAGAGTACAATGGGTCCAGAGGCAAAGCTGCACTGGGCATTGACAGGGGAGGAGCAGGGGGGGATCAGGAGAGGCCCCAGCAGCTCCAGGAGGGCAAATCCTCAGATTCTTTCTGTCCCATTTTCCTCAGTCGCCGTGAGTCCTGGAAGAGCGAAAGGAAGGATACGTGATGGTGGTGTGGGCTGCTCCCAGCCTTTCCAGGTGGTTCAGCACGAAGATGAGCCCAAAGGTGAACACTCCCACCATGTGAGTGCTCAGGGACAGCAAGAAGAGGAAAAAATAGCGGTAGTTCCTCCGTCCTATGCAGTTGTTGACCCATGGGCAGTGATGGTCAAAGTCCTTGTAAAGAAAGGGAGACACAGGGAAAAAGATCCAAACAGTCTTAGAGCTGAATCTAAACCACTGTCATGTAAAACTACATCAGACTAGTTCTGCAGCTTTACAAAATGCTTGACTATCTTTGTAAGACTCTTTTTAGGACCAAGCTGTTTCTCTGTCAATGAATGGAGAGGTACTTGAGTGTTTACAGGGTTTGAAGAGGGGATATATAAAAAAAAGGACAGTCTATTTATCTGCTAGCAGCAGAAGCCCTAATTTTTTATCATCCTCAGCATGAGTCAGACACAATGAAGTTCTTACAACCTGGAATGGTCTGAAGGTGCAATACTGCTGCAGAATTCCCTGCCCCACAGTTCAGTATTTATGTACCACTGAATTAATCCACTCTGAACAATGGCCAACGCCAAATACACCTTTTTACCAAGCAGGTAAAGTTCTGCACAGGTTCATTGACAGTTATGAACCCAAACCTGACTATTTGTCTCAGTCAAAAGACCAAAGTCAGATGCCTTTTAAGAGGAGATTTAATAATGAGGGTAAGCCAGAGACACCTTTCAGGGGCCTTTACAGAGTTTTGTAAGTGTGTAAATCCACTGTCTTCAATGGGATTATTCTTGACGTGAGGACAAGATCAGGAGCAAGAAATAAACCCTTCTTAGCTCTGATATTCCCCACTCGGTGCACACTGAGAGAACTGTTTATTCTCTGCTTTGTGGCACTGCTGTTTTTAAACACTGCTCAGTGACAGTTTGATAGTTCTAAGTTTTGCTCAATGTATTTACCAAAAATTTACAAAATACAAGAAAATGGATTAGAGCTTTCTCAAAGCACATTAAAAAACAACGGGGGCAATTTAATAAAGATCATTTCAGGCTGTATCTGAAATGCTGACATAACTTCAGTCTATTATGCAAATCTGGTTGTATGCAGCCCAAAATACCTATGGATTATGAAACTGTAAGTACCCACTGCAAACATTTCAGTGAAGAAAACAAAAATCTGACTACTTTCGTCACAAAGCCTAAAGCCTGCTGTTACCAGAGGGACCCAAAAATGGATCTAACTGCTTTTATTTCTGCAAATGTTGCCTGCTTTTGTTGTTTATGCGTTTTTATCAGGTTGGTTCAAAAGTTTTATATTTGGGAAAAGAATTTTTTATTGCACGTTCTAGGCTGAAAGTGAAACCACGAGAATTACAACCCTGAGTGGGTTCCACAGGAACATCAGCAGAGAGGCTCCTGTTACTGTCTCAATGCTGGCCTAAAATAGACAGGTGAGTGGGAAAGAAGCATCACAAGAATCAATAAAACATGCTGTTTGAGACCATGATTTATTGATTCTGAAGTCATTAATGCCTTTTGCCTATATTCCTCCCCAGCAAGTCATAATTTAATTACAAGCAGAGCTTCTTACTTGTGCCCCAGAATAGCAGGGAATGTTCAACTGACCTGCCTATCAATAGAACTTCTGGAGAGCTACCCAGAGTCACCTTGCCTTCTGCTGCTTTCTGCAGGTTCCCTTTGGGCTCTCTCCCACGTTCACTGCTGCTGCAGAACTGGCTCCAGGGAGGCTTTATGGCAGCAGGAAACTTCAGTGTTTTTACCACTAGGTTTTGAGCAATCTTTTCCTCAGAAAATGAATTTGTTGAAAAAGTATTTTTATGCTGAGCCACTGGGGAAGGCAGAGGAAAGAAATTCCGTGGGACAACTGAGAATTCACCATCACCTAAACAATCCTCAGGATCTAGAATTACTGAGAACATATCTGGTTTAAAAACAGGAATATATGATTCAAGTTTTCTACAAAAAATCCAATTCAACAATTCACAGCAGTCTAAACAAATTGTGTGTCACCACTCATGAATAGCTGTGGCCATTCCCCTCTGCCCAGGGACCTTGGCAGCCCTTCCTCTCAGGCTTCTGGAATCCCACATCCTTCCAAAGCCTCCCAAAGCAGGCCAGCCTTGTCCTATTTATCGATGGTTACCAGGCACAGCACTGCCCCCAGATAATTATAACTTAGATATATATTGCCCTGGAGGAGAAAATGACTGACACAAGATAAACCCAGGCAGCCTTTCTCTCCCATGGAACTGTGCTGCTTTCTTTGGGGCTATTCCCCTGCTCGTGGAAAAGAGGATTAGGACAAAGGTAGTGTATACAGCATTCCAGCTGACTCGGGTACTTTTTCCTTCTCTGATTAGTAATTCCTTTCATTTTAATGGCACAGCTGAATATATTTTAGACATATTAAAGATTTCATCTTTCTATGTTAAAAAAAAAAAATAGACCTTGCAGCAGAAATGATCCTTAAGAAGTGAAATTTTTAGCTCAGCAATAAAAAGGGTCCCCTGGCAATGCACTGCAGTGAGGACAGTGCTCTGTACTTACATGTTGGGAGATCTCTGTAGCCCAAAAGCACATTTACTGTTCAGGGGTTGTTTTTTAAAAATCCCTGTGACTCACCAAGACCTTAAGGGTATTGAGAATCATAAAAGTCCCATAATTCACAGCAACCAACATGAGAAACATGAATGAGTTCACACTCTGAGCTGGGGTGTTGAAACAATGGGTCCCTTCCAGGGACTGGAGAGCCACTCCCTGAATCCTGAGTTTGGTGTTCCTAAAGCTCACATGCCACTCTTGCTTGTGACCACTAATGCAGTCACCAGTTTGCTCCAGTGAAACGATGAGCCCCGAGCTCACACACACCACATTACAGTGGTTCACCCTGACCTTCCTGTTCCCCTGAGCTCTGCACTGACTCTCCCACTCACCCCTTGTTTACATTCACAATCCCACAGATGCTTCAAGGAGGACAGAGCCAGCACTAGAACTGTTTGTTCTGATTCCCCCTGGTGCCAGAGCTGCCATCGAGCTGGGAGTGCAGCATCACTGATAAAGCTGTGAGTGCAGCATCACTGATCGAGCTGGGAGTGCAGCATCACCCAGGGCTGCTCCAAAGGGCACTCCCAGGGGCAGTCCAGCAACAGGGCCACAGCTGTGACCTCCAGGAGCTGAGCCCCTGGGGGAAGGCCCAGCTGCAGGGCCAGCCCAGGGTGCCGGTGTTACCTCCACGCAGTTGTCACAGACGCTGCAGTGGGAGCAGCGGGGCGGGCGGTAGAAGTGGCAGGTCGCACACCACTTCATCCGTACTTGGATCCCTTTGATCTCCACGTTCTTGTAGAGCGGCGCTCGGAAGTCGTCGTCCTTGTCCTCATCTTCATCTGCTGCTCAACGCAAAGCTGAGAGTTAGTGGCAGTAAAAGAGAGCAAAGAGAAAAGAGCCAGTCCTGTCAGTGCCTTGGGTGCAGGGGCACCGCACGTGCTCTTGGGCTCGTCAGACAAACCCCAGAGTGGTGGAGTGAGGGGCTGTCAGAACACTCCAGGGATCAGGGCTCGCCTCCCAAGGGGTCTGGGCAGCCTGACCACCAGTCTCTGGACAGAGAAAGGTGTCTGAGCCCTGTCTTTGCCAGCATTTACAACCTGAATGAGTAAGATGGGGTGCAGCAGAGTCAAGGAGGGGACAGAAATCACCCCAGCCCTGGTTGTGGGAAGTTCTGCTGCATCCATTTGGGATTAATTCAATGCCAACCTACGTGCCAGCTCATCAGCACATAATGTGAAATGAATTACAGAGGCAAATATTAGAAGAATGTTGTGCTGGCTCAAACCCCCCAAAATCAACCCAGATGAGCCTCAGTCATCCCAAAGACCTGTTGTTCCAGGGAGTCTGAGGGCACAGTGGGATAACCACGTGCCTATGGAAAAGTCCTTGCATCAGAGTTTCCCCCTCACAGCATGGCCTGTGCTCACCTCTACCCTGCCCACTGGAACACTCTGCTCTTGCTTTAGGAACAGCAGCTGGGGAGATACCACCTCTCAAAGGCAGCACAGTTTACTGACCTGAGCACTGGCACTCACAAGTCCTCTATTCTGATTTCTCCCCTGTGGCCCTGAGCTACTCCTTTAGCCTCTCTTGGCCATCAGTAAGATGAGGATGACACTGTGACAGTCACCTCAGGAGGGACAATGCAGAGGGCACGTGGTTTATCATCTCAGCTAAGCACTGCCCTGCTTAAGAAAAGAGTCCATTGAAAAAGAAATGCACAAAATAAAAGTTAGTCTGTAATAGACAAACACTGGGAAGAAGAGAAAAAAAATATGAGAATGATGTTCATGAGAGCTCATCTTTTATTTTAGATCCCTGTGATCTTTATTTGTTTCCTCTTGACAGAGAAAATCTAAGAAGCTCACTTCTATTTAACACCTGGTTAAACATCACAGAGCAGCTGGCATTGGTTGACTGGCTCCAAATTAGGTGGAATTTGATAATATTGTCCCAGCGGGGCATCAATTACTGTCACTCAGGTCTATATTAAATCTTCTCTAGATGTGTTATCATGATCCAATTTCCACTGACTTCAGAGGGAATTTCTGCCTTCCCTTGGACGAGCCTGGGCCCTGGCTCAGCTGCAGTATTTATCTTGCAGGAGTATTCTCTGGATTAAGGTTTGTGTGTGGAAGCAGAGTGCAGTCCTGGCACCATTCCCTATAATTTTCCTTCCTAACCAGGCAGTGGGACTGGGAGAGAGCTAGACTCTAAATCCCTGAGGCACTGCTATAAATACAGTCTGTAGGTTCTTCAGTACCATTATAAACCTACCCATGCTGTGTAATACATGTGGGCAGATGAAAACAAGACATTGGAACAGTCAAACCATTTAAGCTCTTGTAAAAAAACCTGAGTATTTAGACAGACAAAAAGTCTGTACATTAAATATACCTACGTGCACTCAAACACGTTGCTCCTGCAGGATCCACACACACTGCAAGAGTTTGTATGAAACACATCAAAAATACTGAAAGTCACTTTGTAGCTGGGATAATTAGCCAGCACTGAACATTGCCAGTCTCGACCTAGACTGCAAATCAGATTTTTCAGGGCAGCTGAAAATTTCAGTCACTTAACACTTCCTTTCCTTCTCATTCATTTGGGTGTATGACCAGCAATTCACTCACACAGAGCCAGTCCTGATTCACACCAGAGACATTCAGAGAGCCACCAAACGGAGAAAACATTCCAAGATGAGTAGTGGCTCTGGGAGTTTGGTTGAGGCCCTCTTCAACAAGCTGGGTCTCCACAACCCAAGTTCTATCATTTCCCCCACAGGCCAAGCTCTACCTGCAGAGAACCTGCAAGCTGATCCCATGTAGTCAGAAACGGGCTTATTTCCAGTTTTCAGTGACCTGAGCAGAGGAATGCACTGACAGAGGAATGTATCTTTACTGCACAGGTTCTCGTACTCGGATCCACCGACACAGAGCAGACATATCTCATGTTTTTATAACATATCTGAGGGTTTTTGGTGGCTTCCCTAAAGGAATCCTGGGATTTCATTACAATCTCAGCTTTTGTATTGCTTGTTTGCCGTTTTGAAGTAAATTCCTCACTATTAGAAATGTGCTAAGAAGTTTGAAAACCAAGAAGACTGAACCTAATTTCAAAACCAGAAAGCAACTCGAGTGGTTGCACATCCATTTTAAATGACTCCTACAACTCCTGCCCTCCTTGCACTGGCAGCCCTGCGGGCATTGGGGGTGCTGAGAAGCTTTTTTCACATGCACACTTGTGATCTGAAATAACATCTTCTCCTCTTTCCTCCCAGCACTGGTATTTACAGTCTTCTCCATCTTTTTCCCTATCAGTTTGCTTCCTTCACACATCTGAACTCCTACTCCATCGCTTTCTTCCAGGATGAACTCACCCCTCTCCCTGTCCTTTCCCCACTCCCCTGGTTCCAGCATCTTCCATTCACAGCACAGGGACAAAAGGCCTCAGCTGAAGAGAAGGAGCCAGAAGAGCTGAGCTCCAGCAGCTCCTTCTCCTCCTGCTTTGCTCCTGATCCCTTGTGTAAAGCAGGTGGCAGGGAGGGAAGGTGATGAGGGAGTTTCTATTTGATTTCCCCCGGCGTTCCTGCTTTAAACACAAGGTCCAAAATGAAGACCTTTTTGGTAAAAGGGAGCTGGAGAAGTGCAAAGGAAGTTATGAATGGACAACACTCAGCACTGATCACTCCCAGGGCAGGGGGATGTCTGGCTGCAGGCTCTGCTCTGCCCTGCACAGAGATCCTCACACTGAGATTTTCAGAACTGAACACCTTTGTTTAATCTTTCCTCCTACCAAAGGCAAAGAGCACCGATGCCTTTAACAACCTCACATCTCACACAGGTTTAATTAACACCTGCTATCTCTGCTGAGACAAAGAAACTAAAAAGTCCAGGAAACTCCTTAAAAGCTCTGTGTGCTTGAGTTCTTTTCAAATTCACTGCATTTGTACCTTTAAGCACCTATACACTGAACAAGTCGATCTTGCACAAGTGACTGAATCTTGCCTTTGCCTGAGTTTGCCCTTACATGCAATTATTTGCTTAACTGGAGTACTGCAACACTTAATCAGGGGTTCTGAAGCTTCAGCTGAATGGAATGGCAGACAGATGCTTATCATTGGACCCTGCTACCTGGTGAAAGTGGCACTGGCTATTCAGGCAAGCCAGCAGGACAAGTGCCTTCTTCTTGTCAGGCAGCAATTCAAAACAGATACTGAATTCAGTGAATAGAGGTAAAAAAGCACAGTTTGCAGACAGCACAGACCCACTGGTTTAGAAAGACTGCCTAGAGCAGTCTCTGCTGCAAACTGGATGTGAATAATTATTGGAGGACAGATAAAATGAGGTGATAATTCTCTCATTAGGACGTGTTAAAAGAGATAGCTGCACTGTGGCTCCCACTACAAAAGCCAAGCGATCTTTATCCGATTTAATCAGCTGTGAATCAGTACTAATTTAAGCAGGAATATATTTCTAAATGTATGCATTTTTAGACACTCTAAAGCAAGCCTTAATCATTATCTTTTTCAGTGCTCAGTACTTTTGCATTTCTTTTAAGGTCTTCTGGAAAGTCTGCTTTGAAGGAAGTTTGGCCTCTCCCCTCTGCCATGCTCTGCTGCCTGTTGAGAAGACAGTGATTTAATCCACTGTGCCAGCGTGACAGGGGATAGCAATCACAATCACATCACTCAGGGGAGCTACTCAAGGACAACCATCCCATGCAACCCTGTGCCAGTCTGAGCCAGAGCAGGGACAGCTGACACCCCTGAGCTCAGAGGAGTTGGAGGGTGCCCAGCACTGCCCTGCCATCCCAGCTCTGCTGCCAGCCCAGATAACACACAAACTCTACGGGAAAACAAAGGGGGATTGGTGAGCAACTCGTGTGTTTGGAGAGCTGGCACCTCCTCTGGCTTGGATTATCAAACCCACCCCTCACACCCCCCAGTGCCATCCTGTGTTACCTCGGGGGAATACTCCAGGGTCCATGAAGGTTGCCATGCTGAAGTTTGCCAGTACAAACAAGAACACGAGCCCATTGTATACTGGGATGGCTGGGGAGATGGCTTTTGTCAACCAGGGGCACCTGTGGAGAAGAAAAGTTTGGGGTAAGGGCTGTTCCAGCTGTCCAGCAGCTCTGCCACCCCCCAGCCCCGCACAGAGAACTCCTGTGGGGCCCTCCCCACAGCCACGCAGCGAGGCTGAACGTGCAGTGGCACAGAAATTCCACAGAGCCACTTCCAGAGCTCAGGGCAGCCCCCTCTGTGAAGCTGCCTTGTTCAGAGCACAGAGAGCACCCCCTGTTCCTGGCACTCACGGGCCTTTCCCACCCCACTGCCTTCTTGGCAACCTGTGGAAAATCCACCCCATTGTTGCATTTCCGTCCCCTTCTCTCCAGCCTTGTTGCAGTTGGTGTTCCAATTTCCACCAGGGTAAAGCAGAACAGGATTCAAAGCACTGGTCCCCAGAGCAGGGGCAAAGAGAATCACACTCGCTTCTCACTCAGCTTCCATGGCTGGTTTGCAACACTCACAACCAACACTACAAACCCTCTCCTTGGGGGAAAGCCCTGTCAGACCAAGCAGGGGCTTTGCAGCTCTCAGCAGAATACAAAAATGCAGTATCAAAACGCAAGTGGATGGCATCCCCCACATGAAGAATACTCAGAAACACCAGGAAGACCTTCCTTTAGCACAAATCCTACCCTGACCCCATATCCTGGATCGTATTTTGCCTGAATTACATCCCCAGCTGAACCTGGTTGTCTGCCAGGCTGACGTCTGCGGGAAGAAGGAAACAAAAACAACAACAAACAAGCAGCCTTTTTCCAGCTCTAATTCTCACTGGGCCTGCTACCGATGGGCTGCTGTGAACAGCTGAGAACAGCGTTAATGACCTTGAGGGGACACTGTAAACGTGCTCCTGTGGCCACTGCTAGGGGGGCAGCACATTTTCTTCTCCCATTTCTTTGTGAGCAGACAGGAAAAGATTGTTTTGCCCTCCCCTTCTCTTCATAGCCGGGCCTTTAACACTGAGCTGCTGCAAACTGCTTCTAGAAGCACCTTTCCTCGTGTGTGCTTCAATCAGCACGACCTGCAGGGAGGAAAGATGGACAAGTCCTGCCCAGGGTGAACGGGCTGCGAAGCCAAGAGTAAGACAAGGCTGTGGCCCGGCCAAAGCTCCAGGCTCAGCAGGGGAGAAGGCAAAACCAAATCATCTACAGACAGCTGGACACCACGAGGAACCCTCAGACCCTGTCCCAGAGGTGGAATTCCAACCAGCAGCCAGGTCCTGCTGCCACGCCCCATGTCCCTCACAGCAGCTGCCAGGGACTGCAAACCAAAGCAAGGCAGAAGTTTCTCACTTGCCAGGGAATGTGCTGCAGTGACCTTGCCAAGCACTGTCACCAACAACAGCTTCTGCCACATCCTTCCCAGGAAAGCAAAATAAAGCACTTACAGAATCAATTCTACTCAGGGAAGGGTTCTTCCCTCTAAATTATAGTAAAATTAGATTCAGTAATGGGCATGACTGACTTAATTTCTTCCCTTGAAGAAACTGCCTACACAGAGAAAGATTATGAAGTTCCCCACTGCCTGTCAAGCATGCAGGAGAGATTTCCTTGGCAGCAGAGTCACAGAAGTTGGCAAACTAAAGGACAGGAAAGCCTTTCTTACAGACAACTAGTTACTCTGAAGGAGATTATAATGAGAGAGACTGTCTCAGATGATTAATGCAAGCATTTGTTGACATTCTCATTTGTGATTTACTTTGTCGTGTTCCCAACAAATATATCAAAATATTAGGAAAAACTTCAGCCATAAGCTAAACTGAGCAGCTCATTTAATGGCTGAACAGGGTATCAGAAAAGACTTCATGGAAGTTGAACTAAAGGATGGAGTGAGTCACTGTACATACAAGCCACAAGGTCAGCTCACAAGCCTTCCATTTCTTCTTCCCAGAATCTTTATGCAGCATCACAGATGACATAAAATTAGATGGAACAAAAGGGGCCTCGTTTGTAAACTAGACTGGCCACTAAAAACAGATGTGGAGATTGAGTCCTGCCTTGTAACTGTAAAAAGGCCTGAAAAAGAAAATTAAATTGATACTAGGATTCACAAACACGATGCATCCTGCCTTTGCCTCTCCACTAATGCACACATAGTTTTAGGCAAAATAACAGAAGCTCTAATCCAGGCCTGGCAGGTTGTTTTATCACTAATCCATCATGCAAATCTGGATCCTGCCCCTCTGCCTCGAGAAAGAATCTGCAGAAATGTCTGAGCAGGACCTGTAGTGAGTTTCTTTTTACTTTGTGCAAATCCCTTCTCCGGGAGGGATTCTTCCAGCAGCAATTCTGCCTATCTAGGGGACAAATCTAGCTGAACTTTTCATCTGCTTTGTCCTAACAGACGTTGCTGTGAATCCAGACAAACACAGAGGAGTCAGAGCTTTCTCTGGTTGGTGAACCCAACATTTAAGAGGCTCCAGTCCTGTGTCTTCAGCTCATCTGACAGAGGAATGATATGGCAGGAAGGTACCACAACTGCTATAGGGCCATGTAAATTAAGTAGAACAAAAGCAGTGGATAACCCCCTAATGAAGCACCACCAGATTCTTTCTGAGAGAAAAAACTCACCAAGATTTCTGACGTGCACTGACACCTCAGAGCAAAACCACCAACCCCTAACCCAGAGCTTTTCCACCACAGCTTCAGTCTTGTCCAAGAAAGCTGCAGCTTTTGTGTTTGCTGGAGCAGCTGCAGAGTCCCAGACACTGCAGAGGTCAAAGGCAACATCCCTGGACCACTGAACAGTGATGGAACACAGCACCAGCTGTGCTAGGACTTGCTTTTTGCACAAGCAGCTACACATCCTCACCTAGCATATCTACAGCCCAAATACTCCCTGCTCCCATGGCCATTACTTATTCCTCACTGCACAGTCAGTTCAAGATCGATGTGAAAATAATTATTTTATATATAAATATGAATGTGTCTCCTGTTCCGGGTTAGTTTGGATCCTTCACTCGAAGCAGAAGACCTGAAGGGTCACATTGCTGCTGTTGCAGGTACAAGCCCTGCTACACCCAGACCTGCTGAGCAGAGAAACTCCCCTGGCTTTGTTTGCTGAGGAAGCCCAGAGCCAGCACAGGCAGTCCCTGGATAATCAGGGATCTCAAATTCTTCTCACCCAAGCACACAATTAGGCAGCATTTCCCTCATAATTACACTTCTCTTACATAGAGTGACTCTGTTCATAACTCAGAGGAGAGTAATTCAGGGCGACAGATTTAATCTCATTTATCCTATTTGCTCCTGAAACCCTATCCCAATAAAACGGGAAGTTAAAAAGATTAACAAATAGGATCACACCACTTGCTGGGTGTCAGAGAGACTTAGCACGATCAGCTGCCTTCCTCTGCTAAATTAAACAACAAATAATCCTTTCTGCTTTTTTGCCCGGTGCTTTGTTGCAAGACTCGTTTGTCTTTATAATTAGAGTTCACCTATAATTAAGTAACTGAATAGGACAGTTTTCTTGAATCCTGCTCTAAATTAAGATTGGTGTTTTTCATTAAAGCCTTACACATGCTTAGAGAGGCAGCAGGCATTGAGGATGGGATTTCAAGAAGCAGGTTTTAGTCTTGGCTCTGACATGGGCTTGCAGAGGAACTGAAATCCATCAGCTTCCCTGCCAGCCCAGTCATACTCTGCAAATGAGACCAAACCACTGTCCCTTGCCTTTCCTGGAGCTGCTTGTGCAGTGCACAGAGAGGATGTGGGAACCTCAGGAGTACAGATGGGCATCCAAGCTTTGGAGACTTATCCACACCTAATAAGAAGACCCCAAGGATTGTCTAATTGGCTGCTCAGCTCACCCATCATCTGATCTGAGATTACCACACATCCTCCCCTCAGCCTCAAACAGATGACAGATGTGCTACAAAACAATTCATTTCTGCACAAATCACAAGGCCTGGGGTTATAATATAGACCTAGTTCAGCTCCTTCCACCCTTACAGTAACGTCCACTAATTGATCCAGTGCATGGCAGCAGAAGCAGCTCAGGGAAGAACAGACTAATTAGCTAAGAGGGGTCAACAGGCAAACATAATTTGACGAAGCACGAGTACTAATTTCCTGGAAACTTCCAAACAATGTCCATAGGTCTGCAGCAGCCTGTGCTGGCTTGATTCCTCTGTTCAGAACACGTGTGTACTGTACAGTCCATGATAACAATTCCCAGACACCTGAGCAAGGCTTGAACATTCCCAATCTCGAGCCCAGAGCCAGCAGGGAGCTGGAGCTGCCCCTGGGCTGCTCCAACGTGTCCCTGTCAGGCACAACAGTCAGGATGGCAGGGACAGCTCAGGAGGGACAGGACACACAGGGAACAGTCCTCCTCAGCCAGCACTGCACCAGCTGCACACGAATGAAAGGGCCATCAGCTGACTGGTTCTGAACACCCACCCTGGACACAACTTGGAATTAGATGTTGACATTGTACCTAAAGCCCATTCCCCCCCTGTGTATGAGGGACAGGGAAGGTGCAAGGCAGCATCCTGAGGGCTCCCCATGGCCAGTCTGCACCACAGAGCAGGGAAGGGCACAGCTCTCCGAGTCTTCAGCAGTGCAAACCTAACACATTTCTCACATTTCCCAGTCTGGGTGAGATTTTTCCATTTATGTGCTCTTTCCTACCCTGAAATCACAGAAAAGTACCTTTCTGGAATAGTAACAGAAGGGGAAAAAAAATTGCTCATTTTTCCAATTTTTGTCACTACCAAAGATAGCTTGGAGATTACTGTACATCCAAAAATACTTTCCAAGGTGCTGAGACATCTGTAGGTTTAACAAGGCATCGCTGGAAACAGTCAGGACAGAATTTATCTGAGTGCCACAACCCATGGGAAACAGAACGGCAGGTCTTGTGAAAATAGCAGGAGGTTCTGGAGAGCCAAGTCCTCTGCTCAGCTCTGCACATCAGATTTTGATAAATGAACTAATTTCTGCAGCATATCTTACTCACTGGCAGGGCTGCAGATAATACATCGTTGCCATAGCACTCCACTGTCACTGTG